TGAAGTGAACTTTCCAGGCCCCCAAGGCATGGGGCTGTGGGGCTGTCTGCTTTCCTGTTCCCAGTCTGCCCACCAGAGGTCAGAAAGCAAGCTTCCGGGCTGGGCAGGAGCCCCCTGAGCTACATTGGGATTGTGCCAGGCATGGCTGGCCCGTGCCTCGTCTGACTGCTCACCCCCTTCTCCTGAGCTGCTTGACGGGGCTGGAGGGTTGCATTAGGCCAGTGGAGAGATTGGGGGCAGAGCCTGTGAGGGTCTGTCAGCGATCCATTCCCTGAAGGCACCTTACGGGTCAACCCGGCTCCACCAGCCCAAGTATGATCAGTTTTTGTTACTACTCAGCCCTCCAGCGCTCCCGTTGCCACGCATTTCAGCAGGGCCATGTGCTGAGACCATCCTCCTGCATCTGTAGCTCAACAGGAACCGGAGAGGGGCGTGACTCCCCAAGATGATCCAGGGGACCGGCTTCTCGGAGAACGAGGGTCCCTTTTCCAGGCTGTCAGGAAAGCCTGGCCCAGAAGCTGAAAGGCGGAACTGGATTCAGTATTAAGGCACCAGCTTTGATGAGGGCTGCAAGCCCCCACACAGACCCAAATCAGGTGGCACTTGCCTGCAGACGTGAATTGGCCACAGGGCTTGGCTCCCTGCCACCCTCCTTCTCTCTCCCCTGCCCCGGAGATCACACAGGTGCGATGGGGACGGTGCAGGGCAGAGCGGGGTCAACTGTGGCCTCTGCAGCCTGGGCCTGTTGCCACATTCCCAGCTCACTGTCTCTATCATGGGGAGGCCAAAGCAAGGAGAGGAATACAGTTCTTCCACCAACTGTCCCAGCATGAGGCAGTGAGGAGGGTCGGGGAAAAGGCCTGGGCTCTACTCTGGGCACTGCCTCTGGCTCGCTTGTGACCTTGAGCAAGCCCTCCTATGAAGGGCTATGTCAGCAGTGCCCCAAACTGTCTGATCACAGGTGGACAAGTTAGGAAACACTGGATTAGATGACATTTTGAGACCCTTCCCACCTCATACATTCTAGAATGAGATGCCTCTCTTCCTGGGCAGGGGAGAATGAAGGAGTTGGGAGCTGGAGTTCCTGAGCTCTGGGTGTCCCTGAGCAGTCCTTAGTCCCTGGGGACGGCTGGGGTGAGGTGGGTAGGGACCTAGCTGACTGAGCCCCCACCTGGGGGCAGCAACTACAGCCCAGCCAGGCAGAAACCCCTGACCCTGCAGGCCCGCGTAAGACCAGGCTCTTGGGGAAAGGCTGTTTCTCAGCCCTGGTTCAGGACCAGCCCTGTGGGGCCAAGCCTGGCTGGGGGTGGGGGGTCGGGGAATCATCCCCTCAGGGTTGGAGGCTGGGCTCCGATTCCCCAGAGACAAGAAGGGGCAGCAGTAGAGGGTGTAGGAACAAAAGAAACGGCCTGGCAGCCTCCCTGAATACTGCCCTCTGGGCACCTCAGGAAGGAGGGGGACTGAGCGGGGACCAAAAGACAGCTTTCCCTGGAGGGTACTCATCCCACTGTAGTGTTACTGTCGATGCCCTGACTCCCTCACGGGCTCAAGAGCTATGAGTGACCTAGCCAGCACCTGCGGGAGGTGACTCTGGAAGCTGAGCCAGCCTGAGGTGCCAGGCCAGTGTCCCCAGGAGGGAAAAAGCAGGGCACGGTCTCAGGTGACCCCATTAGCCGAAACCTGGGTTTACGGGAGGGAGGATACTTCCCTGCTCTTACCCGAGTGGAGAAAGGAGCAGAGGGACATTCCTGCTCATTTATTTTTGTACAGCTCTTAGGCCAGCCTTTTTTGGTGAAAACCTGCCCCCCACTGCCAGAGCCCTGGGGCAGAGAAGCCAGCCAGGTAGAGCAACAGCCCTGCCCAGGGCACAGCCTCCAGGATGATTTCTCTGGACAGGCAGTGGACTGAGCACCAGGAGGCCAGGTCTGGATCCCGGGGCGGCCATGCTGATTTGGGAAATGGCATGTCATTCAGTTCCTTCTCCATACAAGGGAGATTATACGGGGTGGGGTTGCTCAGGTGATTGCAGGAAACCTGGAGTGGTGTGGGGGGCGGGGGGCATGGCAAAGATTTGGGAGGGATTTGTGTTTTAGAGCCTCACTAGTTAAAGTACCATTCCTTGACCATCGCATGCACTCACCTGGGAATTTGTGAGAAATGCAGAAACCCAGGCCCTGCCCAGGTCTCCTGAATGCAGTTTTAGAAAAATTCCCCTGTGATTCCAACGCACCCATCACCCTTCTTCAGGATCCTGCCTCTTCCCGTGTTGCTGCAGGCTCTGTCCAGCTGACTGCTGCTGACACAGGAGGCTGCCTCCCCTGGCTGCCCCCTGAGCAAGTGGGTGGGGAGGGGCTGGGGAAGCCAGCTGAGCCAGGCCGGCGGGAACTGAGGCACAGCAACAAGGCATGTGGAGGGTGGTGAGCTGCCTGTTGAGCAGGCCCGGGCCCCAGCAGGTGGCTCCCTTGCACAGAGGAGAGCAGCTGCAGGCCGGCCGGAGTGAGGGTGACCCTGACCCCGGGTGTGGCCAAGAGGACTGCACCTCAGGAAGGCTGGGAGGGGACTGGGGACCAGGCCAGCTAAGGACACAGTGGTTACAGGTCAAGGCCACAGGGTGGCAGGAAGCGGTGAGGCCAGAAGCCAGGCACGATCTAGGTGGAGAGTCATCACCGGACCCCCATCTCCGGCTGGCCCCTGGGCCCAGGCCCTTGCTTAGCCCTGAGGGGTGGGCATTGCCCAAACTCCTGTCAGAGGGAGGCTGCCTGGCCGCGTTCTGGGCAGGAGGGGATGTCGTGTGTGGCAAACCCTCAATCTCCAGAGTCTCTCCCACACCTGAGATAGAGAGCCTGGTGGCAGGGCCGGGGGGAGGGGGTGGGTCTGGCCCTGAGCACCCCCAGTGCCTGGCTTCCCTTCCATTTCTAGACACCAAGGAGGCTGGGTTGAGGTGGACTGTGAGGGAGGGGGCAGAGCGACAGCCATTTCCAGAGAAGGGCCCCGGGCGGTTGCAGCCGAGAGAGGCCAGTTTGAGGAGCTGCTCCTTCGGGACGGACGATGGAAATGGGGGTCGCAGCAGGGCTTGGGAACTAAGGACTGGTTAAGTTGGGCCCATGGGTGTGGCCCCCTCCAAACTGGTGTCAGAGCCTGCAGATGAGTCCCGAGAGGAGCGGCCCTGCAGGAAGCGGATGATCTTCTCAATCGTGGCCTCCTGGTACTCGTGGGACCACCTGTGGGCACAGGGGCTGGTGGGTCCGGGGGCTGCATGGGCGGAGCTGCTGGCTGGGGGCTGTGCACCCGCCCCCCTCTCCTCACTTGATGCCATTGAAGGAGAGCACAGCCTGCATGTCCTCAGGCAGGTCCTGGGGCTCTGGCCACTCGAAGCCATCGATGACCGGCACAATGTTCTTGCCGCAGCTCAAAGCAGTCACAATCTCCTGCAGAAAGAATGAGGGGAGAGGAAGAGGCCTGGGTCCCCATCTAGGGACCCTGGGGCCAGGTAGATGCCGGGAGGGGTGCTGATGCTGAAGTCCACTTTGACTTCTCCCTCACCCCGTTTTTTTTTAATAAAAATCAAATATTTGGTTTTGCCCCAGGTCCTTGGCGTAGAGCTCCCCAAAACACTGGGAATCCCCGGATGGGTGGAGGTTGGGGATGGGGGTGCCTAGGTAGCTTCTGGATGGGGGCTGCTTGCCAGGAAATTTTAAGTATCCCACATACATTCACAGACGCACACCTCCCAGGAGGGGAGAGGGGCTGGAGATTGAGTTCACTCACCAGTGGCCAATGACTCCATCATGCCTCCATAATGAAACCACCAAGTCCCCCAAGGATGGGGTGGGTTGGTGAACACATCTAGGTGTTGGGAGGGTGGCCTGCAGAGGGCATGGGAGTTCTGTGCCTCCCTGCCTGAGCCCCACGCCCCAAACCTTTGCCCTATGCATGGCTTACATTCCAATGTGCCTGAGTGAGCCAGTGTTCCTACAGGGAACCAGGAATAGTTAAGTGCTTTCTCAGTACTGCAGGTCATTCTAGCCAATTACTGAACTGGCGGGGGGAGGGATGTGTGTGTCATGGGAACCCCTGAATTGCTAGTCAAGTCAGACAGAAGTGCAGGTAGCCTGGGAACCCAGGACTCTCAGGCATCTGAAGTGAGCACGGACACGTGGGACTGAGCCTTTAACCCTCTGGAGTCTGACACTTGCTCTGGGTAAGTCAGTATCAGAACTGAACTGGGGGCATCTGGGTGGCTCTGTCGGTTAAGTGTCAGACTCTTGGTTTCAGCTCGGGTCCTATCTCAGGGTCTTGAGATCAAGCCCTGTGTTGGGTGTGCCCTCAGCGGGGAGGAGTCTGCTTCTCCCTCTGCCCCGCCCTCACACTCCCAGGCACGCAATGTGGTCTCCTGCTCTCTCTCAAATAAGTAAATCTAAAAAAAAAAAAAAAAGAACTGAATTGAACTGTGGGACACCCAGTTGGTGTTGGCAAATTGGAGAACTGGTTGTTGGTGTCAGCAAAAACCCACACAGCTTGGTATCAGGAGAAAAACATCATCCTTTGCATCCAAACTGATCCATCACCATCTCTGCCAGTTGTACTCCTTATTTCTCAGATCCACCCACTTTGTCTCTTCCTCCACCCCACCACCGCGCTGCTCCAACCCCCCATCTTTGTCCCCCCCCAAGTCTCTCCCCATTCATTCTTGCCCCCTCTAACTTGTCCTCTACATTGCCCCTTCACCTAGCTGCTCTTTGCAAAATGCAAATCTGATCATGTCACCCCCTACTTAAAAATCTTCAAGACTTTACATGGCTCTTAGAATAAAATTCAGACTCCTTACTGTGGTCTGAAGGCTCTGTGTGGTTGGCCACAGCTCCCTTCCCAGACTCCACCCCGCACCGTTCTCCCAGCCACAAAGACCCTGCAGCCGCTTAGATTTGCTATCCTCCCTCCCTGCACAGGGCCTTTGCACATGCTTTTCCCTGCCCCTTCACCTAACTCATCCCTACTCATTTTTCTGATCTGAGCTCAATCCATACTTTCCCATGGAAGTCTCCACTCCCTTCTCTGACTAGGCACGATCTCCCTATTGTAGGCTCTCACAGGCTCTTTAGCACATGCTACAGTTGCAAACTTAATGAGTAATTTACTTAATATCTGTCTTCCCCACCAGACATAAAGACAGGGATCATGTCTGGTTTTTATCCACCTTGTATCTCAGCATCTTTCACAAAGCCTTGCCCATACTCAGCCTTTGCCAAATACTTAATTGGATGGCTGGATGGTTGGAATGAATGAATGAATGAATGAATGGGAGAGACAACGTAGCATAGCTGTTAGGGGCTACACTCTGGAATCATGAGATTGGGGTTCACATCGAATCTCTGACACAGGCTTTGTGGTCTCAGGCAACCAACAGGCCCTCAAAGCCTCTGTTTTCTCTTCTGTTGGGGGGATACCTGCCATGTCCCGTGGCAAGTGGTTAAAGCAGCGCTCAGCATGTAGTGTGTGCTTAATCAATCACAGGGGTTATGATTTCCTCCTCTGTAAAGAAAGATAATAAACCTCCCTCACAAGGTGGTTCTGAGGATATTACTTACTATTAATGGATGCTCTGGTAAGTGCTTATTAAATGTTTTTTCCCTTTCAAGGGGGGAACCTCAGGGATTGGGATTTCTTGAGTGCAGTTCACTTGTGGTTTTCTATATTGATTACCCAGCAAATGTGGCTTCGGGGAAAGGAGTTTTAAAACCAGAGGCAATGAAGCACTAACAACAACCAAGGAAGGCTGGTGGAGCCTTTGGGACTGGTCCAAGGCAGAGGCTCTCGCCACCCCTCCTCCCTCTGGATGGGCGTCAAGCACGCGTGGGGAGCAGAGCCTTCCTGGGGAAAGAATCCACATAACTCCAGCACTGATTGCTTTTGGGGAACCTCTCATGTTATGAATGAGAAGAAGGAAGCCCAGAGAGGGGAAGGGACTTGCCCCCAAGTCACACAAATGCTCAGCCCAAGAGGGGCCAGGCTTCTGAATCAAGCTTTTAGATTCCAAGCCCAGGGCTCTTTTAGCCAAGCCCTCTGCCTCTCTGCTGAGAACTTATATGAATTCTGACCCTGCACAAATTTATTTGAGAGCCTTTAGACATTTGTTTTATCCAGAATTACACAGACCCAAAGACCGCACACTGCTCATTGCACAGACTCAGTATCTGGCCAAGAGAGGAAGAATGGCTTGTTCAAGGTCATCCAGCAGGTTAAGAATGAAAACTTGGATTCGAGTCGAGTGTTCTGGCCTGGTGAACCTGGTGGACATGTATGGCCTTCCCAGTTATCTCAGCTTCCTCTGTTTGGTCACTGGTTCAAGTATTCCATAAACTTGTCAAGAGCCTGCTTCGTACCACGCATGCTTGTAGGCATCTGGGATATAGAGTGAACACAGCAAGGTCTGATCTTGCATGGAGCTCAGCTACTCCTCTCTTTATCCCAGAAGGCCACCCGCCACCTGCTCTGGGCCATCAACCATGATCCTGCAGGTGTCTCTTTGGCCCAACATCCAACCGAGCCCAGTGCTCAGCTCCTAAAACATGGCTTCCAGGGCCTGACCCTCTTCCCTACGGTGGGTCTGGATGCACTCTGGTGTCAGAGCCTTCTCCCTACAACTGCTGGCCTGGCCTCACTGCCCTTGTGGGATCCTTTTTCCCAGTGCTTTAAACACAAATCTTCTCCCAGCCTTTAGGTACCCTGCAAACTGGTTCTGTAGTTTTTCGTTTGTTTGTTTTTTTTAAAGAGGGAGAGAGCCAGTGGGGAGGGGCAGAGGGAGAGGAGGGGAAAGAATCTTAAACAGGCTCCAGGCCCAGTGCGGAGCCTGACGCAAGAGGCTAGATCTTACGACTCTGAGATCATGACCTGAGCCAAAGTCAAGAGTCAGATGCTTACCCGACTGTGCCACCCAGGCGCCCCAGTGGTTTGCTGGTAAATCTCTGGGGGCAAAAAACCCCAACCAACCAACCAAATAAAACCCTGATTTATAGTGTTTACCAATTTCCTTTGTGTAAATATTCCCACCAGGGCTGACCTCAAGCTACCAACATGACGTCCCTGGACAGGGAATTGGGAAGAGATGCAGACAATCATTTCTGGTATCAGCTGAATCCTGCCCTACCCCACCACCTCCCCTCCCACCCCCTCAGATCTGCGCCATGGAGGGCAGTCAGGTGCTGGGAAAGAGCATGGGCTTTGGAGTCAGATCGATGGAGTTCAGAGCCCAGCTTTTCGGATTTCTACACCAGCCAGGGGAAAAAGTATTCTTCTCTGAGCCTCAGCTTCTTCATCTGTAAGCAATTACCAGTGATGCACCTTCCTCATCCCCACTTCTGTCCTCTGCTCGTGCAGTCGCCCTGCCTGGGATGCCTTTTCTTCCACTTACCTAAATTCTTAAGACTCTTCTCAAGTTCTGCTTCCTCCACGAAGCCTTCCCTGGTTATTCCAGCCCTTAATATTCTCTCCCTTCTCCATGCTCTTATGGCAAGTAAGAGGTTCACCTACGTAGCTTAGCAGCGACACCAAACCATATATGAACTAGCCACGTCTGGGCATACTCTTATTTCCTTAGCTGCTCCAGGACAGGGTTCCATCTCAGATGACTGCTGTATCCCTCACTGATTAATAATTAATAACCTGCAGATGTGATATGGACCCATTTCATCCATCCATCCATTCTGCAAGTATTCAATAAGTTTCTACTGTGTGCCAGACACTTAAGATACAATGGCATTAATTAAACAGTGGTAAACACTCACACTGATTACAAGAATAAATGCTACCATTATAGAGCAATTACTACAGAACGAGGCCTTCTGCTAAGGACTTGACAGGTTTTAGCTCTTTTAATTCTTATAACAATATCCTAGGGAGTTAGGGATGATACTTCTCCCACTTTACAGTAGCAAACATGAAGCTCACTGCGGTTATGTAACTTGCCCAAGGCCAGAGCTGGGATTCAGACTCACAGCATTGTGCCTTTCATGATCTCACTGCACCTGTCGCTAGGCTATCTTGCCCCTCTTCCCGCACTGAGGTTATTTGTCAAAGCGTTTTCCTCTTTTTCTGACTCTCACGACCATCCCACAGGTGAATAAGACAGACAAGTTATCCCCATTTTCTGAATGAGAACACTGAGGCCCAGAGAGCCTAAACGACTTGCTAAAGGCCAGTCACAGTCCTACTGTGGCTCTTGCCTCAAAGCTGGGTCACGGAGGTTGCTGGGGAGTGCGGATGAGAAGGAAGGGGAGGAGGACCTTGACTCCTGGCCACAGGCCAGTGCTGGGACCACAGAGGGCAGCACCTACCTTGTGCACCCAGTCCTTGCACTCATGGTCCTGCATGCACTTGTCCAGGGCCCCGGCCGACAGCACTAGCACAAAATTATGGGCACCCATGACACTCTGGATGAGCTTGTCCTCGAACTTGCCCGCTTCCAGCTTCTCCACATCAATGAAGACACTGAAGCCGTGCAGCTGCAGATGCACCTTCAGGAGGCTGAGAAGAGGTCCCGTGTCACTGCCCTGGCCCGGCCCTGAGGCCCCGGGCCACCCGCCTGCCCACCCCTTCTCACCTGGCAAGCTGGGAGCCTGAGTTCCGGCGGTAGCTGATGAAGACATCTGGGATGTCCCCACTGGGCTTGCCGCCAGTGCAGGGCAGGGGGGAGTGTAGCATTTCTGAGGCAGACAAGGGGACAGCTTGGTAAGGGTAGCCCCTCCCCCTCACTCACCATAGGGTACGTCATCCCCTGCCCACCCAGCCTGGCCCAGGCAGGGTGGCCTGTCCAAAAGAGGGTCACTGAGATAGAGAGCTGGGCCTACAGGAAGGAAGTTTGCTTCCTATTGGCGAGTCCCTCTCAAGAGGCAGGCACTGTGTTTTAGGGACCCGGATCTGCACCTCCAGCCCCGCCCTCTCTCCGGAGCCCCAGACCTGCACGGGCAGCTGCCCACAGACACTGTAAACCCAACACATCCCAAATCCTCCCCGGGCCCCTCCCTTCCTAGTTCCTACCACAGCCAGAACCTGTGTATTAGCCTGAACCCCTACCTCTCATTCATTCATTCCACACATATTTACTAAGTACTTACTGTGTCAGGCACTACCCTTTGTGCTTGAGATACGCCAGTGAACAGAACACCTGTTCGTAACACCTGACTCCGTGCTCTGGATTCTTCCGATTAAACAGCCTGGACTCCAGCCCCAGGGCCCTCCCTATGTGCAGGTCCCCAACTCAGCCTTCTCAGCGGTTTCCCCAAATCCACACTTGCCTAGTCCACCCTGTTTGCACAGCAACTGGAGGGGTCTTTCTAAAATCCAAGTCTCAGTGGGTCACTGCCTCCACTTAAAAAATATGCATGGCGGGGCGCCTGGGTGGCTCAGTCGGTTAGGCGTCTGCCTTTGCCCAGGTCATGATCCCCCCTGGATCCCTAACCCTAACCCACGCCCTCAACTCAGCCCTCCGGGAAGGTCACCACAATGCCCATAGATCGGACCGTCCATGCTCCTGGGCCCTAACCCTAACCCTAGGCTGGGTTCTGAGAGGAACCACCCCCAGAAGCTTGGCTCCAAAGCCATACCAGAGGACTCAGCCTGCAACACAGAAGGAAACCGTGCCATTTGGAACTCCAGAAAGGATTCAGAGCAGGAGAAATCTGAATGCAAACCTGAGCCATGCAGGTGCCCCTCCCTGTTTTTAAGAAATGAAATCTTGGGGTTTTATTGGGAGCTGCAATGTGAAAATAATGAAAGCTGATCTGCTTTGGTTGAACTTGTTGAATGAAAAGAATCCATCTTCTGGAGCACCTGGGTGGCTCAGTCGTTAAGCGTCTGCCTTCAGCTCAGGTCATGATCCCAGGGTCCTGGGATCGAGCCCCGCATCGGGCTCCCTGCTCAGTGGGAAGCCTGCTTCTCCCTCTCCCACTCCCCCTGCTTGTGTTCCCTCTCTCACTGTGTCTCTCTCTGTCAAATAAAATCTTAAAAAAAAGAAAAGAATCCATCTTCATATAATATTCAGATTTAACACTCACAGACAGCCCTTGTCTGTTTATGAAGCAGAAAGACAGAGGTTCAAATCCTAGTTGTTATTTAATGGCTTTGGGATATGTATTTGGGATTTCCCAAGGAATAACCTTGGGAAGTGTATTTAAATTCTTTAAAACTTAGTTTCATCATCTTTAAAATGAACACTCTTGATGGAAATGTTCTTCATCTTGGATTATGATGGTAGTTAAACATGTATGCATTTTTCAAAACTCTTCAAATCGGGCACTTTTAAGTTATACCTCTTTTACTACTTAAAAGTTTTTAAAAAGTAGATTATAGAAAGGCGCCCGGGTGGCTCAGTGGGTTAAGTGTCTGACTCTTGATTTTGGCTGAGGTCATGATCTCAGGGTCGTGAGATTGAGCCCCTAGTCAGGCTCCATGCTCTGTGGGGAGTCTGCGTGACGATTCTCTCTCTCCCTCTGGCCCTCCCCCCTCGCTTGCTCGTGCTCTTTCTCTTTCAAAAAAAATTAAATAATAAAATAAAATAAAAGTTGATTAAAAAAACTAACACCCAGGGGCACCTGGATGGCTCAGTTGGTTGAGTGTCTGCCTCCCGCTCAATAATGATCCCAGGGTCCTGGGATTGAGCCCCACCACAGACTCCCTGCTCAGCCGTGAGTCTGCTTATCCTCTGCCTCTCCACCCCAGCTCATGCTCTCTCTCCCTCTCTCTCAAATAAATAAAATCTTAAAAAAAAATAACACCCACTGAATAGAATGGATATAGATATTAATGAGATAATACGTTTAAAACTTAATACATATAGTAATTGACAATATTAGCAAAATAGTCAATTAGCAAATTAAAATTAAAGTTAAATTAAAAAGTAAGTAAAAAGGGTTGCTAGAGCCCTAGAATCCATTCTGCCGTAGTGACAGCCCTATAGCACCTCCAGACCCACACTTTGTAAGCTGTTGGCTAAGCGCATAAGCCCCCTGTCTGCCCACCCCATCCCCTATCCCCAGCAAGCACCCTCCTTGCTGTCTAACCTCGACATCTGCATATACTGCTCCCTCTGCCTGGGCTGTTCTTCCTGCTGCACCCTCCTCCCCAGTACATCCTTCAGGACCTGGTCAGGCGTCCTATAAATGCCTAGACCTGGGTGGACAGGGTAGGCAGCGCTTCCTCTCAGCTCCCACTGGAATCCTGGGCATGCCTCCTGCTGTGATCACCTACCTGCCTTACTTCCACCCTCCTGCTCAGCTCAGACGGGGAACTTCTTTGCATCCTCAGAATCCAGTCTGGCACAGCATCTGTGCTCAATCCACCCTCAGTGAGGCTCGGAGGCCCCACCACGTGTCTCCCCTCGCCCCCCCAGGGCTGGGGGCTAGGACAGGGGTGGGGTCCCAGGTGGGCGGGCTGACCTCTGGCGGCCGTGAGGATGCGCACGCGATGCACGCCCAGGCGGATGCCGCAGTCCTCCAGGAGCTGCTGCTCGGACACGCGGTGCAGCAGGGAGCGGTCCAGGCCGCAGCTGACCAGGCCGTATGTATACTGGCGGAAGCGCGGGTCCAGGCTGCCCAGCCAGTCAGCCAGGTTGCTGCGGTCGCACGTAGCGTAGTTGGCGAAGGTCTTGAGCTCCGTGAGCTCCCTAAAGAATCTGCAGCCCGGGGAGAAGAGGACGCTGAGGTCCTGAGTGGGACTGGCTAGTGGCAGAGGGCGAGGACCGGCGGGAAGGGGGCTCCGTACCTTTTGCGGGTGATGCCGGATTTCATGCCCAGGTCGGTCTGGAGCTCCTCCTCCGTGAGCCGCAGAAGCAGGTCGCCATCTACCTGCTGCTCCTGGGGGAGGGGTCAGATGTAAGGAAGGGCTTTCCTCCTCAGCCGTTGGACCCCAAGCATAAGATGCAAGGACAGGGAACTGGAGATGGCGATGGGACCCAGATTAGAGCCGAGTGGCCCCAGAAGTGGTTGAGCAGAGGCTCCCACACCCGAAATCACCCCTGGCGCCGCGGGCGTGCTGGCCGCGAGGGGGCGCTGTTGCCTTGTTCAGGGCGCCCCTAGCGGCCGCGCGCCTTGGGCATGCGCTGCTCTACCCGGAAGCTCTCGCAGTAATGCGAGAAGCCGATCTGCTGTAGCCACGTCTGGACCTCCGCCTCCTTCCAGCTGGCCACGCAGGGCAGGATGGGCCGCGGCACCTCCTCGCCCAGCAGGCGCAGCGCGCGCTTGGCCAGCGCCGACGTGGTGCCATTGGTGGAGTAGGAAACCAAGCGTTTCAGGCTCTGGATGGCTCCGATGTCGCTGAATACCTAGGGAGGGGTGGGGAGAGGGTGTCTTGGGTCCCCCAGTTCACCAGCCATCCCCAAACGTGCCCAGTCCCTCCCCTTGCCTCTTCTCACCGCTGAAACTCCCATCGTCTGCCCTTGCCCTGCCTTCATCCAATATATCACCTAGTTCTGTGAATTCCCCCTCCTGAAACTCTCTCAACTCTTGCCCTCATGTCTTCCCTCTAGCAGCTTCCATCTCCCTGGGATGAAGTCTGAGCTCTCACCCTGGCACAGTGCAGCCCCTGCCCACCATTCTCAGCTCACTTCCCCTTTCTCCAACCCACACTTGGCTGACACCCACCCACTATGACTCTCCTACCTCTGGGCTCAGTCATGGTGTTCCCAGACCTTTAGTTCTTCCAACCTGCTTGTGGGAATCCTGGGTCATCCAGTGGAATCCAAATTGATTAGCACTCCCTCCATGCAGCCTGCTTTGATTTACCCACAGCTTGGCCCCTCCCTCCAATTAGGCCTTGTACTCTAAATGCCACTGTTGTTTGTTGATAATGCAGCGTCCACTAAACGATAAGCTGAGGTCATGTTTTAGTCACCTTTGGAGTCCTGTACCTGGCACACTGCAGGGTACAGAGTAGGGGCTGACTATCTCTTTCCTGAACTGCATTCACTTGGTCTTGTTGGAAAAGGGATGGCACAGCTGGTGGTCATGGCTACTGCCCAGACACTGTCCTCACTCCCCACTTCCTTTCAAGTCCTTTCTCCCAAAGCAGAATGACCTGATTTATAAAGCCAGTCCCCCCATGGCCCAACTCTGGGGCACTGAGGGGAAAATCAGAAGCTCTTAGGACATTAGACCTTGGAAGAGGCCTTAGAGACCCTCTAACCCAACAGTCTCTTTTTAATCTGTGGGGACACATACAATAGGTGACAATCATCTGTGAGACACTCTCCTCTGAGCAGCCCAGCTGACAGCTGTGGTACAGCCAGGGTGGTCCATTTGGTGCCCACCACTCCCTGTGTCCCAGCTGTCCGCCAACTCCCAGACCCCCAGAAGAATGCAAAGGAGGGAGAGGGGTGTTATAGGGATAATCTTGATTCTGTAATATTTAAAAAACAAAACCCACAAACTTTTGATCATTTAACTATTACTAGGTCCACGTGCAGGGTAAGAACTGCTGCTGTGGCCTGCTTCTTCAATTTTCCAGAGGCTAAAAAGGAAGCATATAGAGGCCCAGTAAGGGGAAGCCAGCTAGCCAAGGTCACACAGCAAGTTAAAGCTGAGGGCAAAAGCTTCAGATCAGCCCCTGGGCATGAGGACCTCTTGGGATGCAGGTGGGAGTTATCTGGTCAACACACTGACATCCTGCCCCCCAAGCCTCTGTCTCTGCACTTCATCTCCTTCCTGCACTCCAGACCCACATGATGAAATGGCCCACTGGGGTGCCCCAACTGGTCACTGTTCATGCACCCCAAGCTCAACCTGTCCCAGTGAACTCACTTTCTTCCCCTCCCCCACTGCAACCTCTCATCAGTTAACCTTATTTCAGTACCAGGTGCCAGCACCCATGGGGTCGCCTGTGTCCAAAGCCAGGAGTCACCCTCAACTCTTCCCTCTCCTTCACCCAACTAGCCACCAATTCCTAATTCTATCTCTTCAGCACCTCTGGGATCTGTCTGCTTTTCGCTGCTCCTGCTGCCATGCTCCAGCCCCCCTTCCCAACTGTCCCCGTCATGGCCTCCTATCTGACCTCCTTGCCTCCATCCTCACCCCTGCCAATTCCATCTCCACACTGCAGCCAGGGTAATCTTTGTAAAGCACATGCTGCCTGCTTAAAACCCTTGGTCTTGCCTTCAAGGCCAATGACTGCTCTCTCATCCTTCTCCTTGCTTCACTTAACTCTTATGTGTACTTCAAGTCCCAGGTGAATGTCACTTCCTCTGGGAAGGCTTCCCAGACGCTCTCTAGCCCCTGCCCCCTCCCTCACCCCACACCCACCTTGGTCTTGCCCTGCAGGCTCTTGATGGCAGCCTCCGCACACAGATAGAAAGCCCCGATGCACTGCGCCTCCAAGCGCGACGAGTCGAGTAGCGGCACGAGGCGCTGCAGGTCGTCGGGCCCGCGGCCCTGGCTTGTGTCACTGGCATCCACCAGGCAGCGGGCGAAGCGGCCGGGGTCCAGCGAGGCCACGAGCGGCTCCACGAGCGCCAGCGTGCCGGAGCGCTCCACCTGGCGCTCCACCTCCTTGTTGGTTGCCAGCACCGCCACCGCGAGGCAGGCGTGCAGCCGCAGCAGCTCGTCCTCTTTGGAGAAGGCGAGCGGGAAGAGCCACTCGGCGGCGCGCTTCTCCACCATGCGCCGCTGCGCCGCCTGGCCCCCGTGCAGCGCGCAGTTGCCCAGCGCCAGCGCGCAGTGGCGGAGCAGCGCCGGATCCGTGCGGCGGCACCAGTACAGCACGGCGTCCAGGCCACCGGCCGCCACCAGCCGCTGGCACGTCTCCTCCGAGTGCTTGAACATGTGCTCCAAGATGCCGGCCACGCTCCGCGCCAGCTCCACCGGCTCCCGCTCTTTTGCCAAGTTCAGGATCACGCCCAAACCGATGCGCGCCACGCGGTCCCTGCCGAAAGAAAGTGGGACAGGGACGATGGAATGGCGGTGCCCCCGGGGAGCCTGGCCACGCCCTGGTCACTTACACCCCTCTGGCCTCACTAGTGTCATATAGGACATGAGGGAGAGCATTATCCTACCTGCCTCCTGCTTCCACCTCGCCCTGGAAGGAATTACAAGGGTGCTCCGTCCTGGCCACACCCATTTCCTCCCTTACCTCTGCCTCCTTCCCCGCAGTGTGTGTCGTGTGTGTCGTGGTTAAGAACCCTAACTCTGCAGACATCCCCTGGGAGCTGTTTTGTTTTTTGGGTTTTTTTTCCCTAGAAAGCTGTGGGACCTTGAGTGCCTTCCTTTATCTTTCTACCTCAGTTCCTCACCTCTAAATAAGATAAAAGGAATACCAACTCCAAGGGTCATTATGAGAAGGAAGGTGATGATCCATGTAAAATGCTTTCCACAGTGCCTGGCACATAGGGAAGACTCACTAAATGTTAACTTCTTATCATCATTTGAAGCATCACTCGAAGTACACCCTCTTAGCCTTGTCCTCAAACCTCTCTTCACTCCACACAGTGTGACTGGAGTGTATTTATTCATTCACTTGACAGATGTTTATTGAGGAACTACTGTGTGCCAGCACTGTGCTAGGGACTGAAGCTGAACAGTGACTTAAGAGTGCCTGGAACTTATACACAGCTAATATGGAGACAAACAATAAGCACGTGAACAATGAGTGAACAGGCCACAATGCTAGCAAATGCAGGTGATGTAATGGGCAATGTTTGGGCGGAGGAGGAGGTGACATTTTAGAGTACGATATCCAGAGACTCCTGCCTGCAAGTATCTGGGAGAAGAGCATTACAGGCAGAACGAACAGCAAGGACAAAAGCCCTGAGGGCTCATGAGCTTGGCATGTTTGAGGAATAGAAAGAAGACCAGAGATGTTTGCAATGTTTAAAACCAACAATGAAAAATATAAAAGCAACAAGGATTCATAGATAGAATATATAAATAGTCAAGTCAACAAGAAAAAGGTAGCAAATTCAATAGGGAATGGCGAAGGATATAAATGGCAACTTACAAAAGAGAATATCCAAAATGTTAACAAGCAAATAAAGAGATGCTCTAATTCATTAGTAATCAGTGAAGTGAAAATTAAATCAGCTGTCACTTTACACTTATTGGATAGGCAAAAAGCAGAAGCTGGGTAACAGAGAAGGTTGGCGGGGTGTGGGGCTATGAACACCCTGAAGCTAGAGGTGCGTGCTGAGGCAGTCAATTTGGAAAGCAGGCTGGGATGGGTGGGTGAAGTTAAAGAGATATGCACCCTATGAGCCAGAAATTGGAGCTTTTGAGTTAAATCCCAAAGAAATCATCACAGATCCACAAAGGAATATGGAAAAGGCTGTTCACTGCAGGGTCGTTTGTGGTGAGGGAAGATGGCGGCGGTCTGGGTGTCGAGCCTGGGAGAGCGGAGAGGTAACATGGGCAGGTGCCCACTGTGGAGGACTATGGAGCAGTTACAACGGACTGAACAGATGATACCATAGCACATGAAGGCTCTTAAAAACAATACGGAGTGGGTGAAAGTATGAACCGGAATGTGCTATGTAACACAGCATCATTTGTGTAAATTAAAAATACATGCATACAAAACAAGAATAAAGGTTTTACCAGGATGCAGCTATAAAGACACACATTAAATATACTGGATGGGTGCCTAGGGCATTAATTTGGAAAGATGGTGGGACATTCACGAAGAGGAGAAGGGGAGATTGTGGAGATGGTATTCTAGGTGCAGATGCATGCAAAGGCTTGGAGGTATCTGAGAGCTGGTGCTCTTGGGGACTTGCCCCCACCTCAGCCATGCTGAAGTGAAGCCATTTCTAGTGGCTTAGGTGGAAGGTTCAAGAGGAGAGAAGGGAAAGGGTCCTGGGGGCCTTCTGAGCCCCCTCCAGGCATTTGTACTTTATCTTGGTGGCAAATGGGGAGCCACTGAAAGGCTTCAGGAAGGGGAGAGACCTGCTCTTACATGGGTTTTAGGAAATATTCTGACTGCTCTAGGGAGGAAAGGTAGAAGGGAGGGAGCCTGGATGCCAGCAGAGCAGGCAGAAAAGCTGCCACACTCTAGGCAGAGGTGAAAGTTTTGTGTCTTCCTGACCTCCACAAATGATGTCCTCCACAACTGACATTACCCCCAAAGACTTAGAGGCTCAGCTAGACATGGAGTCCCTGCCCAGTGAGCATCACAGTGACACTTGTGACTTTGTATCCACTGCAGGTCCCAGCTGAGCCCATAACATGGCACAACTTGGCTGAGTTGATCACTGAGTTTGCCCCTAAGTCCAAAAGAATAGGTGGGTTCTAATCATTCACTTGTTCCTTTTACCAATGAGAAAGCCAAAGTTCAGAAAGTTTACATGACATGCTCAGAGTTACACAGCTGGTGAGAGGCATAGCTAGGGTCTGAACCTGCATCTGTCTGTCTTCAAAGGTCAAGATTCTTCATCTATACTTTGTGCTTCCAGAACAATCTGACTACATAAACTCTGAGAATATCAGAACCAGGATGTGTTTAAGCAATAATCTAATCCAACACTCTCATTTCCTGAGGACCAGTGAAGGGAAGGCCTTGCTCAGGAATATCAATTCAGAGAGGACTTTATTCTTTTTTTGCTTTGTTTTGTTTTTTAAATTTTTTTATTTTTACTTTTTATTTATTTATTTGAGAGGGAGAGAGAGAGAGAGAGAACGAGGGAGAAGCAGACTCCCTGCTAAGCAGGGAACCTGACCCGGGGCTCGATCCCAGGACCCTGGGATCATGACTGGAGCCGAAGGCAGACGCCTAACCTACTGAGCCATCCAAGCGCCCCGTTTTTAAATTTTTTTAAGAGGACTTTATTTTTGGGGTGCCTGGGTGGCTCAGTCAGTTGCGTCTGCCTTCAGCTCAATTCATGATCACAGGGTCCTGGGATCGAGCCCCACATCAGGCTCCCTGCTCAGAGGGAAGCCTGTTCTCCCTCTCCCTCTGCCTGCCACTCCCCCCACTTGTTCTCTCTCACTGTCAAATAAATAAATAAAATCTTAAAAAAAAAACAAGAGGACTTTATTTTGAGTCTGTTGACCCCCAGCTCTCCCCTTTCCCTATGCACTTGGCACCTTCACAGAACTTGAACTATGTCCTTGTTGTGAGAACTATATGCTCAGCTCCCAGCTTCTGCAGCCTGAGAGGCTATGGGTCTGGGTTCAAATCCTAGCTCCAAAGGAGGGAGGAAATCATACACATATACATACAAGCATGTATATATAATATACATATATGCGTAAATCCTTGTATGCCTAGAATTTCTCTGGAAGGACATACTGTGCGAGAAAATTGTTTTGTTGATTTTCGTCCAGGGAGGGGGTCTGGGTAGAAAGAAAAATTCTTAAGTGTGTGACTTTTTTGTACCTTTGCCCTTTTTTAATTTATATGCCATAGCTTTCTGTTTTATTTTATTTTTTAAAGATTTTATTTATTTTTTTGACAGAGACACAGCAAGAGAGGGAACACAAGCAGGGGGAGTGGGAGAGGGAGAAGCAGGCTTCCCGCGGAGCAGGAAGCCCGATGCGGGACTCGATCCCAGGACCCCGGGATCATGACCCGAGCCGAAGGCAGATGCTTAACAACTGAGCCACCCAGGTGTCCCTGTTTTGTTTTCTTTTTAAAATATGTCTCCTCCACTTATTCACTGTGTATTTTTGGGAAAGCCATTTAACCTGAGTTAAACCATTTAACCTAATTATGGTCTCCTGATGGGGCTGGGCTATAAATTTCAAAGGCTAGCAATCACATGGGGCCCTCACTGGTGTCATGGGACCAAGTTCAGAGGGTCCTACCCTGTTGGACTTCTCTTGGCATTTGGGGGTGAGGGACGCTGTGATCTAGGCTCCTGGGCAGTGGGTGTAATAGCACGCTGGGAAGACAGGAATGAGAAAAGGAGTGGGTGAACTGATTGAGGAACTCTCTTTAAGAGGAGTTTGGTTGATGAAAGAAGGGCGAGATTTCATAAACACAGGTTCTCAGTGTATCACCTCCCTTCCCTCCTTTCCAGCCTCCCCCCAGAGCAGTCTAAAGGGTGAAGAGATTCTGCCTTTCTTTGGAAAAAATTTTGATGGGCGGGGGCTTGCTGGGCTCTGTCCTTGGTCCTGAAGTGCTGTCAGCACCAGCGCGTGGTTTCCTGAGACCAGGGATGATGGGGAGTGTGACTCCCCCCTCAGTAATTCTGAACCAGGTGTTGTTATTTTCAACCTTGAAAAATATCAGTGCAGTTTGCATCTTGCAGCCCTCCTGTTCCTAGGATGTTGGCTGCACCGCTTCTGCCAAGGGTTCTAATTATAGCTGCCACGCCCCACATACCAGGCTACCAGGTACGGCCACCCTGTGCCCACCACAGGGAGCACCCACTGTATTTGCTAACCCTCCAAATGTACTGATGATTGATCTTAAACGGAAAATTAATGACTTGCTGAGTAAGCAGACACTAACTTGCTCTCCCCAACTTAAATTGCTTCATTCATGCATTTTTGACAGTTGTATCACTACCACTGTCCACAAGGTTATGTTTAATTTTTTAAAATGGTAAGAGAAAAAAAAAAAAAAGAAAGAAAATGGTAAGGAAAGCACCCTTAACCCATGCCCATCACACTTGTGAGAGCTGCATGAATTGAAAGTGACCCTTCCCAAACCCTTCTAAATCTGAGGGGCCTGAGAATTCAGCATGTGACTACTGAGTGACAGTTTGGTCTGCTCTGGCATCAGAGGGGAGAGGAAGTGAGTGCAAGGGTCCTCATATTCCAGGGGAGATCCCAAGAGGCAGGCAAGAGAGGGGCAGCCAGACCCCAACTGGACCCCCCTACTGTATCTTGGCCCTCTGTGGGGAAGGGACAGAGAACACATACTCTGGCCTCTGCCTAGCTCCTCACCTGTGTCCTCTTCTCTCACCCATTCATCCCACTAGAAAACCTTCTGTGCCCCATTAGCAGCTGCAGAATGAGATCATGTCTGGCCTGTTACGAGGGCCAAAATGAAGAAGGAGGAAGCAGGAGGTGGATTGGGGGTGGCATAAAGGGGGCAAGTAACCCTCAGATCAGTACTCACTTCCATAATCATTGCCCCTCCTCCTACCCCATTTCCCGAGCATTGTGTTTTCTTCTTTTCTCAGTGGCACAGAAGGAAGCCTAGAAGGGCACGGGCCTGTAGAGAGGAGGTCTGTGGGTTTAGGGGGCATTGGCAGCAGGATCCCAGCTCCATCCTCGGAACCAGGGACAAATTCCTGTCCTACCACTCCGTTCTTCCTGTCCCTGTCTCATTCCTCACCCCAGCAGTCCTGGGAGTGAATCCCGGCTGCACCATCAGTTCACACTGTGTTGTGACTCCCGGCAAGGCATGAAACTTTCCCAAGCCTCAGTTTCCTCATTTGTAAAATAGACACGCTGATCCCCAGCAGGGATGTAGTACAGGGATGCGGTGAGGTGAGGCGGGAAAAGTCGCACCAGAGACCCGGGCCGTGGACCGCCCTTGCTGCCCCACAGCACCCCGCGCTCTCCCCTCAGCCCGTGAGCACCCTCACCGGTTCTCAGCCACCAGGATCTGCTCCAGCAGGCGGGCGGCCTGCACGCGCGTCTCCAGCTCCTGCGCCTGCAGCAGTCGCAGCAGTAGGTCGAGGCCGCCATCCAGGCGGATGGCGTCGCACAGACCCTGGGCTACCTCTCGGCCCACGGCCGGAAGCAGCCAGGCCTCCTCCACCAGCTGGAAGACCTCGGCCAGGCCGGCGCCCACGGCCCGCGCCCCCCCCGCCTGCTTCAGCGCCGACAGCGCCTGCTGCAGCTCGGGCAGCGCGCGCTCCAGGGCACCCTGCACCTCGGAGCCCGCCCCGGGCGACACCTCGCGGGGCCCGCGGCCGCCCGCGGTCCACCATGGGCCCGCGCCGCCGCCCCCGTCCGGCCCCGGCACAGCTAGCCGCTCACCGCCTGGCCGTGGGCCCGACATGGTGAAGAAGCGGCACAGCTTGTAGGCGTAGAGAAGCAGCGTCAGGACCATGGGTGCGGGGCTGCGGGGGACATCCCCGGTCCGGAGGGGCGGAGCGACCCGGCACTTGGGGAAAGGGGGACAGGAGAGGGATCCAGGGAAAAGAAGGTGCAGGAGGGAGGGATGGTTAGAAGGCTACCTACCAGGCAAGGGCGCTGGCCAGAAATCTGGGGGAGGGGCGAGGGCAGGATCTGGGACGGAGCTTTTGGGTGAAGGGATGCGGGCCCAGATGCAGGGCGTGGGCGGGAGGAGCGAGAGGGGAGCGAGGGATGGACCCTGACGCCGGCGGGTCTAGGAGGCAGCAAGAACAAAGCGCGGCTCCAGCTAGGAGATGCTCTGCAGCAGCCCCGCCCCTGAGAAGCCGCAGCCGGGGAGCTGACACCCCGCCTCTCGGTCACGTGGGACTCTTCCCCGGCCTCCTGAGTAGCCTCACCCCCAGGCTTAACCCAGCCACAGCCACGCCCACGCCCTGCGGTGGGATGGGGGTGGCGACTAGGGGGAGAGGGTGCAGAGCGGGAGGACTGCCTCGGTTTCCCCGCAAACCCTGTGACACTGCAACGTGACGGCAACGCCGTGGAGCGTGCCCCCCTCCCCTAACAGTGGTTCAAGCAATCATGGTACCGATTCGGTACAACTCTCGAGACCCTTTATGCCTGTTTCTCAATGAAGCCTTGCGACAGGCCTAAAGGGTAGGGATTAGTGTTCCCATTTAACAGCCAAACTGACTGAAGCTCACAGAAAAGAGACTGCCCAAAGTCACACACCCCTCTCTGATCATGGAACTGAAAAAGTCAGTTGGAAACTCTGACAATCATTTTTTTCCAGGTGGTGGCAGGATTTCAGGAGGCCCAATGGACCCCTGACAGTGGGCACAAAATCAGGCCTTCTGTGCCAAGGGTATTTTCTGGAAAGAGGGATGCTACTTAGTCTAAAAGTGTGAGGAATGATGCTATTCTTTACCCATAGGAAGTCTGAAGGTGGAGACGGAGCAGTGCCTACCAAGGAGCAGTGAAATATGGGGAGACTAGGGAATCAAATCCAGTCCAAATGGTTAATATTCACCCAATTTTGCTGTGCTGTGAAGCCCAGCTTGGGGAAATCAATGCACCCAAGAGTTGAACCTAAACACGAAAATCTGTTTTTTTATGATAAAAAAATTCCCCCAGGATGCTTACCAGCATTCCTCCAACCCCCCCCCTTCACTGCCCTAAATACACAGTGGGTGGGTGAGACAGTCAGAGATGTGCCTGATCAAACAGATCACAGATAAATAACCATTTATGGAGAATGAAGCTGGCGTTACTCCAGGCACTGGGCATTTCGTCTGCTTTAGCTTGTGTAACCCCCACCACAACAGGAGGCAAGAATTATTAATCTCACTTAACCAAAAAGAAAGCCAGGGCAGGTAAAACCATTTGCCCAAGGTCACACAGCCTGTGAGTGGCACAGTGGGCCTTCTTTATGTCCTCCAGATCCACTGTGCTGTTTCCCTTCTGTTATGACACGGAGCTTGGCAAGGATCCTATTCACAGTTCTCCCAGGCCCGGAGTTCCAGGAATGTGACCCTTTGCTGCAGCAGCCTCTGGGGCCCAGGGCACTGGGGGCTGGGCCAGAGATTGAGCAAACAGCAGAAAAGGCACAGCTCTTTTTCTCTGGCTCCTGCCTCCCAGTCCCCACCTCGCCCTCCCTTCCTCAAGCATCGAAGTGGAGACCTCCCTCCAGGAGCACAGAGCCCAGCTCACCTGGCTAGAAGCTAGGGGCCTGCCATGGCCTCCCCAAGGCCCCTGCTGCTGCTAGCCCTGCTGGCCTGCGTTGTTCTGGCTGACCAAGGTGCAAGAGGGGATTGGCGGCTGTTCGGGCCAATGGAGGGTGGGCAAGGGTGGTCCGGGCTTAGCCATGCCAACTAACACCTCCTCCCCACAGAGTCCTGCATGGGCCGCTGTACAGAGGGCTTCAACGCCGACAGGAAGTGTCAGTGTGACGAGCTCTGCTCTTACTACCAGAGCTGCTGCGAGGACTATGTGACCAAGTGCAAGCCCCAAGGTGCGTCCAGAGGGGCTGGCTGGGCCAGGGGTCCCCTCTGCAGCTGGACACTCACCACCACCCACTCTGCCCGCAGTGACTCGTGGGGATGTATTCACTCTGCCAGAAGATGAGTACGGGGCCACTGACTACCCAGAGGGGTCGAGAGGGAGTGTCCTCACACAGCAGGAGAGCACCATGCTGAGCCCTGGCCTGCAGACCCAGCGTGAGGAGTCTCCTGCCCAGGTACCTACTCTGATCACTGAAGAAAAGGCTCCAGAAACTGGGCAGGAGACCTCAGAGCCTGAGACCCATGCCGAAGACATCCCTGAGTCCCCAGCAAAGGAGGAGCTATGCAGTGGGAAGCCCTTTGACGCCTTCACTGACCTCAAGAATGGCTCCCTCTTTGCCTTCCGAGGTGACTCCAGGGGCACGTCTTGGGGGTAGGGGTCTGCCCCTGGAACATCCCCTCCCTCACACAGCCTCCCGCACTCTAGGGCGGTACTGTTATGAGCTGGATGAAGAGGGAGTGAGGCCTGGGTACCCCAAGCTTATCCAAGATGTCTGGGGCATTGAGGGCCCCATTGATGCTGCCTTCACTCGCATCAACTGTCAGGGGAAGACCTACCTCTTCAAGGTACCGGGCCCAGGGGCTGTGGGTCAGGGTCAAGGGTGTCTAGGCAGGGGTGGAGGGCTGCTCTGCCCAGGACTAGGGTGGGCAGGAAGGCTGAATCCCAGCCTGTGGTCCCTGACTGGGGCTCTTGAGGACAGGCAAGGCCAGGGCTCCATGTCCCGGGCGACAAGCCTAGAATTGGGACTGCTGCCTTGGGTGGGGGACTCTGCCTGTGCCAGCCAGCTTCCTCCTCACTCCCTCCTCCTTCTCTACCCCTTAGGGTAATCAGTACTGGCGCTTCGAGGATGGTGTCCTGGACCCAGATTTCCCCCGCAACATCTCTGAAGGCTTCAAGGGCATTCCGGACAACGTGGATGCAGCCTTGGCTCTCCCTGCTCATAGCTACAGTGGCCGGGAGCGGGTCTACTTCTTTAAGGGTACTAAGGGAGTGGGTGCGAGAAAGAGCAGGCAGGGGGGTGGTCTCGGTTTGCCTCCACACTCCTCTAGGGGCAGGGTCAAACTAGGCTTGCCTCCTGCCAGGAGCTCCTATCTTCAGCAGCCTTGGGGCTGGCTTTCCAGCCTTGCTCACATGTTCCCCCCTCCACCCCCCCCACCGGCTTCCCCGCTCAGGGAGACAGTACTGGGAGTACGAGTTCCAGCAGCAACCCCGTCAGGAGGAGTGTGAAGGCAGCTCCCTGTCTGCCGTGTTTGAACACTTTGCCCTGCTGCAGAGGGACAGCTGGGAGACTCTCTTCGAGCTTCTCTTCCGGAGCAGACCCTCTGGTATGGAGGGAGGGCAAGTCTCGCTTTCTCCTCCTGGGACCCTTTGGGGAGGGGCAGGGCACAGCAGGCCAGAGGGGGCTGTGATTGCAGAGCTATGGATCAAAAGCTGTTTGCTCAGGCCAGACTTTGTTTCTGTTGACCTTTGGGGGGAGGTCCACCTGGACCCCACACGTTGGACTTTGCCTAGCACAGCCAAGGGCATAGCCAGCAGGAGTGACCGTGGCTGAGGCAAGTGGGGAGGGCTGTAGTGGAGGAAGGCCAGGAGAAAGAGCACTGAACAGGGAGTCAGAGGGTCCGGGTGCTGTGCTCTGCCATGAGCTTGCGGTGTCCTTGGGCAAGGCACACAGCCCACTGTTGGGCACCAGATGAACTCTACAGGCCCCCAGGGTTCTCATTAACCCATCCCCTGCCACAGGTGGTGCTGGACAGCTCCGGTTCATCAGCCAGGACTGGCTTGGTGTGCCCACGCAGGTGGATGCGGCCATGGCCGGCCGCATCTACATCTCGGGCTCAGCTCCCCGATCCTGGGCCAAGAAGCCCAAGTCTAAGTGGCGTAGCCGTAAGCGCTATCGTTCACGCCGTAACCGTCACCGTGGCCGAAGCCGCAGCCAGAACCCCCAGCGGCAATCCCGTTCAACCTGGCTGTCCTGGTTCTCCAGTGAGGAGAGCGGCCTGGGCACCTACAACTATGATGACTACGACATGGACTGGCTTGTGCCTGCCGCCTGCGAGCCCATCCAAAGTGTCTACTTCTTCTCACAAGGTGGGAGCCTCTGCCATCCTTGGAGCTTGTCTGGCTGGGTCTTCCCTGCTGTCCCTGATCCCCCATGGGCTGAACATGGCCCTTGGGTGCTGACTCCAGAAAGCCAGGGTGGGAGTCCTTAGCTGCATTTTGGATGTTCACTTACCCTTCCAGGAGAGACCCATGTCTTCTTTCGCAGGGCAGGACTGGGCAGGGCCAGGCTGGGTCTCACACACCCTCTCCCGACCTCTCTTCCAGACAAGTACTACCGAGTCAACCTTCGTACACGGCGAGTGGACACTGTGAGCCCTCCTTACCCACGCTCCATCGCCCAGTACTGGCTGGGCTGCTCAGCCCCTGGCCACCAGTAGGAATCTGAGCCCACACAGCTGGGCCCTCCACTGCTCCTTCCTCAACCTCTTCCTCCCAGCCCAATAAAGATCCCTTGACCCTGAGTTTAAGACTACTGTCCTGACTGGGGTGGACAGGCAGGAGACAGGGATCTGCTTGGGGAAAGGAAGGCAGGCTGGGCCGTCACAATGTCTTGGGGGAGGAGAGCCACCTTGTGTCCAGTCCACATTGAGTTCAGGCCCTCTCCATGAACTCAAAAAGCTCTGGGCTGAGGAGGGCCTCATGAGTGCTAGCCTTCCTCCTGAACTAAGCAGCTCCTACCAACCTACCAACATTAGCAGGAGCTTGAACCCCACTGATGATGACAGGAGCTACCAAGTGCCCCTCCTAGCCCTGGGCTTGCTTTGCCTCTTGGAGTTGACTAGGGTCTTGGAGGATAGAGAAGGGGCAGAGGGAGGTAGGCTTCTGGCTTAGTTTTCCTGCCCATCCTGAGCCTGCAATGTGGTTAGCCTAGGGAACTGGTGTGCTCCCCCAAACCCACCCCTAGGATGAGCCTTTCTTTGAGGACTCTGTCTTGGGTCTGGGGTGTGCGGTACTGAAAGTCAGAGGAGAGGGAAGGGCAAGAACACAAAAGAAATTCAAACGCACCCACTTCTCTTAGAAAAGTGGCTCTAAAGACTTACAAGGATGATACTCTGCAAATACAAACATCTTTCTTAGAATGCCTTGACTGTACCTGTGGAACCTCCTCTGGTTCTAGGTTCCTGGACTCCAAGAAGCCCATTTGGGCTCTCAAAGGGTTGGATGCAGACGAGTCTCTAAAGCAGACCTGACGGCAAGCTGGTAGTGACATCTGCTCCCCAGCCCTGCTGAGGGCGGGGTGGCTGCAGTTCACCTGCTATCCCTGTCATCACCTGCCATCCCTGTCATCCTCATCCTGCCCAGCCTTCGGTTGTGGCATAGGACTCCACCCACTCTCCCTTAAAGGTAGCCAGCGCCAGGGCACTGCTCCAGAAGGGGCAGGTGAAGCACTGGGAGCACTAGAGAGAGGGATTTTTTCGGCTTCCTGGAAGGAATCCTACGAAGATTTTCACAAAATACAGGATTTCAGACACAGACTGCTGGAGTCCGCGGTGCGAGGAGCAGGGCTCGGACCGGCTTCCTTTATGAAGCCCCGGAGGAGCAGGGGCCACAGAAGTTTTGCTCCAGCCATACCCACACAAGCCCCAACACTGACCCTGGCCTCCCCTCCTTCCTCTGGGACAGCTCCGCTCCCCTCAAGCTGGACATGAAACCTCTCCCCTCCTGGAGGCGGGGCCAACCCTCTGAGCAGGATAAAATGCCAGGAGGAGGGGTGTGGTGCGGGCACAGCCTTGGCATGGCCCTCTGGCTCCTCATTCTCCGCCAGCTCCATGGCCAGCCCTGTGGATGCATCCTCACCAGGTGATCTGGTGGGGAAAGGGTGGGCAGGGGGAGAATGTGGGGAAGGTGGAAGTGAGGGAGCAGAGTCGGCTGGGAGTCTTGAGGCTGGGATGGAGGCTCTTGCAGGGAGTACTGGCTTGACTCCTACTCTGGCCCGCAGGCCATGCCAGTGGGTTGGGTTCCCCCCGGAGAAAGCGGACCACCTTCAGCAGGGGGCAGCTGTTGGAGCTGGAGCGGGCGTTTGCAGCACGGCCCTACCCTGACATCGGCACCCGTGAGCACCTGGCTCGGGTCACCTGCCTTCCTGAGGCCAAGATACAGGTGAGCAGTGACCCCCTCTCAGGGTGGGGGTACTCTCGCACAGTCCCTTTTTTCTGGGTATCCCGCCTCCAGGTTTTGCTTTCCCTGTAGCTGGGGAAGGGGGAGCTGAAGCCAGAAGAGATTCCTTTTTCCCTTATCAGGTGTGGTTCCAGAACCGCCGGGCCAAGAGACTCAAGAACAGGAAGGCAGGAGGCCTAAGCCCCAGGCCCGAGCATACCCAGAGAGCCCGATCTCTTCCAGACACCCTCCAGCAGGCCCGGGAGCCCCGAACACTAGGCCAGCTTCCGTCCTCCAACAGCACACCTCAGTGTGCCTCAATGAGTCGACATGCCTCCTGCCCAGCTCCCGGCTTGAGTCCAGGGCAGGGCTGGGCAGGGGCTAAAGCTGTAGCCCCATGGGGACCAGCTAGGGCTTCAGGGGTCCACCTTTCTTCAGAGCGAGCCACTCCCCAGACCTCATTGGGCAGCTTATCTGACCTCATCTATGCCTCCGCCATCGTCACCAACCTGGACCACTCCTAATTGAAGCCTAGAACTTGGGAGACCGCTCCTCTGGCTCTGCGGCCCACCCTGCCCCTTAGGACTAAAGACATCAGAAGTGGATCCCCCACCCCACCTGTTACACAGGGAGTTCTCTTATCAGAAGGAAGGTTAGCTGAGGCATCCCTCCCTCCCACTGTCCTCCAGGCTGGCCCAGAGTCCCCAGGGCCTGGCTCCTGCTACACAGCGCCCTGCCCCTCCTGGAGCCTACGCCCATCACCATGGCAGGAGGTACCTTCAGAGAGATGGGTAAGGGCCGGGTTGTCCACCTCTCTGGAGCCAGGCCTGGCCCCCAATTCTTCTCACCCCGGCTGACAACACCTCCTTCCTCCAAAGAACGGGCAGCCGCCCCTCACTTTCAGGCCATTAGCTAGCTGCTAGGTGAGTTCGGTGAGGAGAGCACGGAAATGAATTCCAGCCTGCTGGGAACCAGGGCCCCCTCTTCTGACCTGCCACCACCTGGACAAATGAATTGGAACCATGGATCTGAAGAGGAAGTGATATTAAAGTAATAAAGTAGAAAGAGGAGCCCAGGGCTTATGTTCATTTAATTTTCACAAAGATCAGATCGGCTGCCCTCTGACCTGAGGCTGTGGAGACAACCTGACAGATTTCGCGGGGGGGGGGGAGGGGGGGGGCGTGCGCGCTGGCAACCTTGGGTTTTTGTATCACCATCATCTGTAATACCAACTAATCTCCAAATAAAACCCAAACTCTATACACTTAATCGGGATTGTTGGGTGCTGCAAATGAATGGGGACAAGTGCCGTTTGCTTTTGAGATGTATCTCCATCACCTAATCCCTAAATAGGGCCAGGTTTCACACAGATCCTGGGTGGGAGGCATTACCCAGGCTTCTACTGGGATTAGAGGGACAGTTAATTGAAGGGCTTAGGGCTCTGGCTGGGAGATGGGAGCCTCTGCCAGCACGTTCTGCTCCTGCTCCCACGGCTTCCAGGCCGCTCCAGCTGCTTCCATTTCTGGAGCTGCTCTGCTCCAGGAAAGCATGGAGTTTGCAATCAGTCTGGGCTGGATTCAAATCCTGGCTCTGCTATGTAACCTTACAACTCTCTGAAAGTCTATGAGCCTGCAAAAAATGGGGGGTGATAATACTTGTCTTCTCTCCATTTGAGGAATGAGAAGCAATAATGTTAAGTGAAGGGCTTCATGTGGTGTGATGCGTTATAAAAGCTCTCAATTCACCGGAGGTGCCTTCCGTCTCCATACAGCAGGCTAGGAGAAACTGGGAGGACACCAAACTTCTTGATCCTCTGGCCTCCTGCCAAGAACTCCCCTTTTGCCCTGGGAAGCCCTGGGCCCAGACTGCACTGGAGAAAAGTATGGGGTAGTGAGAGATGGAGGAAGTGGCTGAGAGCAGAGAGAGTGCTCTTCTCTGTGACGAGAACCAGAGGACAGGCCACCTTATTGCTATCTCCAACTCTGCCCCTGCACGCGGAAAAACACTTTGCACGGTGAAGAATCCCTTGGCAGAAACTAGGTCTTCTGGGCGCCTGGGTGGCTCAGTTGGTTAAGCGACTGCCTTCGGCTCAGGTCATGATCCCGGAGTCCCGGGATCGAGTCCCACATGGGGCTCCCTGCTCGGCGGGGAGTCTGCTTCTCCCTCTAACCCTACCCCCTCTTGCGCTCTCTCACTCTCTCTCTAATAAATACATAAAAAAAAAAAATCTTAAAAAAAAAAAAAGAAACTAGGTCTTCTACCTTTTGATCTCCAGCAGCTAGCACAGTACTTGGCTCATAAAGCAGTTCTCAAAAGTGTTCAAGGCCACAGAAGCCTGCTGACTTGTGAGGAGGGGCTTGGGATCAAGGTAAGGACCCCATTCTAGTGAAACGGGTGTGTGTGTGGAATGACCCCAATATCAATGTGAGAAGACACCCTGCGGCAGAAGCTGTTTGAGGGGGCCTGCTCTTTATCTAACATTTACAAGCCTTCCAACCTTCCAATCCAGGTATCTGGGGGGTGTGAACGCTGAAGGCTATGTGGTCCCACACGCTACCTGGCCCACAGAGTTCAGCAAAGTACGATAGCCACAAATCTCCACAAACATTCAGTGTAGCTTTTAAACTCAGTCTTAAATGGTCTGGGTTGCTAGAAACATTATAAAATGCCATCTTAACTTTTTTCTCACAGTTGACATTTCTTTCAACCAACAACAGAACTTCTAAGATTTCTCAACAAAGTCATCTATGGTGGAACAGAAGGAATGAAACTTTCCCTCTCTCATGTACTGTCTGGGGAAGCTCAGACTGGCTATGTACCAAGTAGAAACTAGCAAGCACTGTAGAGCAAATGTCTACTGAACCCATGAGCATGTAATTTCTTTCCTCCTTTTTAAAAAGATTTATTTGAGAGACAGAGAGAGAGAGTGGGGGGGGGGGGGCAGAGGGAGAAAGGGAGGGAGACTCAAGCAGACTTCCCACTGAGCTCAGAGCTGATGCAGGGCTCAATCTCATAACCCATGAAATCATGACCTGAACTGAAATCATGAGTCAGACACTTAACCAACTGAGCCACCCAGGTGCCCCCTAAGTGTGTAATTTCTAAGAACAGAAGAGTACCCTGGGGAAAAAAAAACACCATAGGAGTTCATAGTGTGAACAAATGGAAAGGAATATAGGAACCATTAGGAACAGACCCTGAACAAATATCAAAACTAAGGAATCTTTGAGCTTGTGTGTTGTCACAAGATTTGAAATAAGAATGCAGTGGATACAATAAATATTTATTAGATAAAAAACTGACAGTTTTTAAGTACCTTTACACAGATTCTATCAGTATACCGCTAATCTAATTTCTTTGAAGTTTAACATTACATGGGGACTTCAGAACAACCTATCAGTCTTTGGCTCCATTTAACAGAGGAAAAACCACAGCTGGTCATCTGATTTCTCTCAGCCTCAGTTTTGTCTTCGGGAAAAGGGGCCTAAAGTTATTTCCTCTTCCAACCTCCAGGATTGTTATGAAGACCAAAAGTAATCACGTAAAACAATTATTCAACTGTGCATGTTTATAAACTATTTTCTGCACTCACCCAAACCCAGATTTTTTTTTAAGATCTTATTTATTTGACAGAGAGAGAAAGAGAGAGATGAACACAAGCAGGGGGAGTGGGAGAGGGAGAATTAGGCTTCCTGATGAGCAGGGAACCCGATGTGGGGCTCGATCCCAGGACCCTGGGATCAAACCTGAGCCGAAGGCAGACGCTTAACGACTGAGCCACCCAGCGCCCCCCCAAACCCAAATATTTTAAGAACCTACATAAAATATCCTCCGTTAGGCTTATGTATGATGATATGTATACGTATTCATAATATATTACATGTACGTATTCATGCGTATGCTTATTCATATTCACATATACACTTAAATCTGGAAACAGTCCCGATCTACAAAGAACGTCTCCCTTTATTAGCTGAGACAATCCACAGTAGGCATACTCTTCCCACCAACACACACAAAGCACAAGAGATTTTTCAATTAAAAGCAGACATACTGTTTTGCCATCTAAACTGGTTTCATTTTTGGAGGCAGAGCAAAGGGTGATGGAAAGGTGGGAAGTTTAAGGAGGGCTGGTGAGTGGTAGAGACAGGCAGAAGCATATAGAAAATCTGAAAAAGGCGAGCAGAGGATGAAGACCAAAACTAAGATTCCGGAAAGGCAGCTGCCTAGCTCCCAATTTCACCATCCTGTACCAACCTTTCTCTTATTTGATGTCCTGTGATCAGTTCCTCTTCTGACACAAACTGGAGAAAAGGAATCCTTTCTGTTTTGGAGGTTACTGATCTAAATTACAGGTCTGCATCAAGGATGTGTGGAGCAAGGGTGACCATCGATTTATGCACTTGGGGAAGTTCAAGGCAATATGGTCTACTTCTGGGAAGACCTGGATTCTATTTACTCCTGAAGGAGAAAAACCCAGCCTTGGCAGTGCCCAGATGGACTAGAGAAGGCAGATGGGCACTGGGTTCAGGAGAAGGAACTGAAAGACCAGTTCTTTTCAGTTGTTGTCTGACTCTCCTTTACTGCCCCTCTGAAAATTGACAGAGTACAGGGCTTTGGCAGGAAGAGCAGGTGGCCTTGGCTTGGCCCTCTGACTAACCAGAGCTGTGGACAAAGGGCCTGACAGGTTGACTGAGAGTCAGTGATTGGCAGCTGGGAGCTGGAGTCTCCCGAAACCTGCTCCAGACTTTGATGATGACCCATCAGTTAAAGCTCTCCCAACTCGCCTTCCATCGCCCGCACCATGACATACAGCTCGGCCAGGCCCACCACAGAGGCCACGATCAAAGCAGCCAGTACCCGCTGGGGAGAGAGAGAACCAGGCTTAGGGGATGCAGGGCAGCATCCAGCTCTGCAGCCTCTGGCACCTCTAGTAAATATGGAGGGGGGGGGCGTGCGGGGACCCGTAAGTTGGGGGGAAAGGAAGAAAATAGGATCTGGATTCTCTTGAGGTTATTATATACTCCCATGACTGCTGGACAGCTCAAATGCTCCTCTTGTTTACTACATAAATTTACTACTTGCTTAACACCTAACTTGTTCAAGGCACCTTCACATACGTCCTCTCTCTCCCACCAACACTCCCACCCGGAGCACCCTGCCCTGCCCAGTGCCTATACTTACTGAGGCCATTTCCGTGAAGATGTATTGGCTTCCAAGGTAAGTGCAGACGAAGGCAGCTGCCACCGTGACAATAAAGTTGAAGATGGTGATGACCAGAGCTTTCACTGACCTCACTTTGGGGAAGAACCCAGGAAAGAAACCTTTAGGTCAGCATCCTCCACAAGGCCCTCTTATCTCAGGGCTGCCTCCCCCATCAACTGGGTTTCCTTCAAACAGCAAGCCTGAATAGCTCAGGCTTAAACCCAGAGCACTGGGGTGGGAAGAAGTGCCATGACCAACCCCTCCCAGGGAGAGGCTTTAGCAATGTGATTTCCCAGGACCTCACCTTGCTTTCCTAGGTCACTAAGAGTCCCACCATGCCTTGAATCCTGGGAAAAAGAAAACACAAATGATTCCAAATGGCAGCAGCTCAGAGGCAGCCCAGAGAGTATCCATTTGTCAGTCTGGGCTCTGCTCTCTTTATTTCCCAACACATTAACTCTGCCTTCTCCATGGATTCTGTTGTCGGGGACCAGCTGGATTTTTTTCTGAACCACAGATCCAGCATTTCAGAGAAAGGACATAGGTTCCCAGTACCCATCTACTCCTCTCTTGCTCCAGGGTGGGAGCATGTCACAGAACAATAGGGAACCCTGTCAGAAGAAAGGCTCCAAGGCTTATCTCCATCTCTATGACTTTTAAGAATCAGTCACCATCTGAGCCCAGAGTCTCAGTAAAGGAGTTGGGAATTATATTAGGTTTGTATGCAGCAGAGCTTCTGTGGTCCCTGACTCATATAAAAACCAAGCTTCCATGATGTTTTTTCCCTCTGTACCTCTTCCCAGCACAGGGCTCTGCTTTCAGGAGTTACTCAGGCCTTGTACTGAAGAGCAGGCCCTTACCTTACAGGTGACATTATATGTGATCCGTTTATATTCCTCATTGGCCAGCTGTATCTTAATCTTCTCCAAACGGGCCACTAGCTCTGGGTTCTGAGG